AGTTATGACATTAGGAGATATGAGAGCTTTGTGTGTTTAGGGTTATGAATGTATGGTTTTGAGTTAGTTTCCATACTAATAAAAGAGAGAGTCTTTTACATCTTCATAGCCTTTGTTTGATTTGCTCTTTAAAGCTTTGATACAAGAATTGGTATCAGAGCCTGCGATCTCGATCACGAGAAAACAGAGTTGATAACAGAGAACGATCACGAGAAGGTGATCCATAAAGAAACATGGGAGACTTGATTCCCGCGATTACCAAAGAAGGAGGAGGTTCCTCTTCTATTAAGTGTCCGATGTTAAGTCCTACAAACTATACGTTTTGGACTATACGCATGACTATGGCACTCAAAGTTCATAAAGTTTGGGAGGCTATAGAACCTGGATCAGAGGATGTTGACAAGAACAACATGGCTAGCGCTCTTCTTCTGCAATCTATCCCTGAAGCATTAACATTGCAAGTCGGGAAACTAAACACTGCAAAGAAGATATGGGATGCAATTAAATCTAGGAATCTAGGAGCTGATAGGGTTAAAGATGCAAGATTACAAACCCTAATGGGTGAGTTTGAGAGAATAAAGATGAAAGAAAGTGAGAAGATTGATGACTTTGCTGGTAGAATCTCAGAACTATCTACAAAATCTGAATCTCTTGGACATAACATCGAAGAACCTAAGCTTGTAAAGAAGTTTCTAAACGGATTACCTAGGAAAAGGTACATACATATAATAGCCGCACTTGAACAAGTTCTTGATTTAAACAACACTACGTTTGAAGATATAGTTGGAAGGATAAAAGCGTATGAGGAAAGAATCTGCGATGAAGAAGATAATCAAGAAGATCAAGGAAAACTAATGTATGTCAGTTCTGAGACACAACCATGGTACACAAACAGAGGAAGAGGACAAGGCGGCAGACGAGGAAGAGGAAGAGGTCGTTCTGGTTATCCTCAAAACAATGGTTACCAACAGAACAGAGATATAAGCAAAATAACATGTTACAGATGTGATAAGCTAGGTCACTATGCATCAGATTGCCCTGACAGACTGCTTAAACTTCAAGAAACACAAGAAGCCAATGCTTCAAAGAATGGTGACACACAAGTAGCTGATGCTCTAATGATGCATGAGGTTGTGTATTTGAATGAAAAAAACTGTGTACCAAATAAGTTTGAAACCAGTTCAGACAATGAGAACATTTGGTACTTAGATAATGGTGCCAGCAACCATATGACAGGTATACTAGCTTATTTTTCTAAACTTGATGAATCAGTTACTGGCAAAGTCAGATTTGGTGATGATTCTCGAGTCGATATCAAAGGAAAGGGCTCAATAATGTTCGTTGCAAAGAATGGAGAAAGAAGAATTCTACATGATGTCTATTACATCCCAGACTTAAGAAGTAACATTGTGAGTTTAGGCCAAGCCACTGAGTCAGGCTGTGATGTCAGAATGAAAGGCGATAATCTCACTCTTTATGACAAAGATGGCAAGCTTTTGGTTAAAGCACTAAGGTCTAGAAATCGACTCTACAAGGTAAGTTTAGAAGTTGAAGACAATAAGAGCCTACAAATTGGAATATCAAAATGCAAGTGGCATGCCAGGCTAGGACATATTGGAACAGAGACCTTAAAAACAATGGTGGAGAAAGAACTTGTCTTTGGGATCCCACAAATCAAAGTAGAGAAAGAAATATGTTCCTCTTGTCTACTTGGAAAGCAAACAAGAAAATCTTTTCCCAAAACAACTTCTTTCAGAGCAGAAAGTGCTTTGGATCTCATTCATGGGGATCTCTGTGGACCTATCACACCTCCTACACCATCAAAGAATCGATACATCTTTGTTTTAATTGATGATTACTCACGATACATGTGGACACTTCTACTGAGAGAAAAAGGTGAAGCCTTCAGAAAATTCAAAAGTTTTAAAGCATCTGTTGAACAAGAAACCAAGACCACTATCAAAACATTTCGAACTGACAGAGGTGGTGAATTTCTTTCGGCTGAATTTCAAGCATTTTGTAATGACTCTGGTATACAAAGACACCTAACTGCACCATATTCTCCCCAACAAAACGGGGTCGTCGAGAGAAGAAACAGAACATTAATGGGAATGACCAGAAGTATTCTAAAACACATGAATGTCCCAAATTACTTGTGGGGGGAAGCAGTCAGACATGCAACATACATCATAAACAGAGTATCAACAAGAACACTGATACACCAGACTCCCTACGAAGCATTCAAAGGAAAAAAACCAAATATAGAACATATACGAGTCTTTGGCTGTATAGGCTATGCAAAAACAGAACCGGCTCATCTGAAGAAGCTTGATGATCGATCAAGAATGCTAGTGCATTTAGGAACTGAGCCAGGATCAAAAGCGTATCGATTGTTTGATCCAACAAAGCAAAAGATAATAGTAAGCAGAGATGTTATATTCGATGAGGAAATAAGCTGGAAGTGGAATAATGTTGAGAAGGATACAAACTTTGAGATAAGCTTTGGAGAATTTGGGAACAATGGCATAAGAGAAAATACTACTGAAACAGAAACAGAGAATGATGAAGTTGATAAGAATAATGAACCAGAAGAAGAACATATCTCAACTATTGGAAACTCTGAAGATGATGAAGCAAGAGAACAACAACAACCAGGACCAACTCTCAGAAGGTCAGGAAGAGAAACAAAGAAACCAGGCTATCTAGAAGACTATGTCTTATTAGCAGAGTATGAAAGCGAAAGACTGCTACTGGTTATTAATGAAGAGCCATGGGATTACAGTGAAGCAAAAGAATCTAAAGAATGGATAGATGCATGTATAGAAGAGATCACCTCTATAAAAAAAAACAGAACATGGGATCTAGTAGATCTTCCTATAGATGCAAAGCCAATAGGCCTAAAATGGGTTTTTAAGATCAAGAGAAACGCTGATGGAAGCATAAATAAGTATAAAGCAAGACTAGTAGCTAAGGGATATGTACAGAGACATGGCATTGACTTTGATGAAGTCTTCGCACCTGTAGCACGTCTTGAAACCATTCGTTTCATTGTTGCTCTAGCTGCTTCCTACGGCTGGGAAGTACATCATCTTGATGTGAAAACGGCATTTCTTCATGGAGAATTGAAAGAGGTAGTCTACGTCACACAACCAGAAGGTTTTGTAGTAGAAGGAAGTCAGAACAAGGTGTACAAATTGAACAAAGCACTATATGGTCTTAAACAAGCTCCTAGAGCCTGGAACACAAAACTGAATACAATTCTCATAGAATTGGGTTTTGTTAAATGTTCAAAAGAGCCATCCATTTATCAGAAAAGGGAACAAGAAGAGCTTCTTGTTATAGCAGTCTATGTTGATGACTTACTTGTCACAGGATCCAACTTAGAGATGATACTAGAGTTCAAGAAGGGAATGGCAGGAAAATTTGAAATGAGTGATCTAGGAAAGCTCACCTATTATCTTGGAATTGAAGTTACTCAAACTGAGAATGGTATTCTACTGAATCAAGAAAGGTATGCAAAGAAAATTCTTGAAGAAACTGGTTTTGGAGAATGTAATGCAGTACAGGTACCAATGTGTGCAAATCTGAAGTTAAGTAAAGCTCCAGAAGAAAAGAGAATTGATGAGAAAGAATATAGAAGAAGTATTGGATGTCTTAGATATTTACTCCATACAAGACCAGACCTATCTTATTGCGTTGGAGTTTTAAGCAGGTACATGCACGAGCCAAAAGAGTCTCATGGAGCCGCTCTGAAACAAGTTCTCAGATACTTACAGGGAACTCAATCTTATGGACTTTGCTTTAACAGAGGAAACAAGACAGAACTAATAGGATTTAGTGACAGCAGTCATAATGTAGATGAAGATGATGGCAGAAGCACTACTGGTCACATTTTCTATCTTAATGACTGTCCCATTACATGGTGTTCACAAAAACAAGAAACTGTTGCACTTTCATCATGTGAAGCTGAATTTATGGCTGCTACTGAAGCTGCTAGACAAGCTATTTGGCTCCAAGAACTCTTACAAGAAGTTACAGAGAAGTATAATGAAAAGGTTTTGATTCTTATTGACAATAAGTCAGCAATAGCTCTAACTAGGAACCCAGTGTTTCATGGCCGTAGCAAACACATCCACAAAAGGTATCATTTCATTCGGGAGTGCATTCAAAATGATTTGGTTGAAGTAGAGCATGTTCCCGGAGAAATTCAGAAAGCAGACATACTCACGAAAGCCCTCGGAAGAATCAGATTTAAAGAGATGAGAGATCTCATAGGAGTTCAAGATGTGAAGAAAATAAACTTCAAGCTTAAAGGGGAGATTGTTGTATAAGCTTGAAGATTGTGAAGATAACTTGAGATAAAAGTCTCTAGTTTTAAAAGGAGAGTTTTAGATATTTTGAGATAAAGATTAGATTGTATTAGGAGTTATCTAATATATCTAATATGTTGTAATTTCTATTAGGGTTAGGAATTGTATTCTCCTATAAATAGAAGTCAAGTTATGACATTAGGAGATATGAGAGCTTTGTGTGTTTAGGGTTATGAATGTATGGTTTTGAGTTAGTTTCCATACTAATAAAAGAGAGAGTCTTTTACATCTTCATAGCCTTTGTTTGATTTGCTCTTTAAAGCTTTGATACAAGAAAAGAATCATAATGAAAAACAAGTGTGTATGAGAGAGATAAAAATTAATTTATGAGCCCAGAATTGCAAATCTTTGGTTATCCAAACAAACATTGAAAAGGAGGGTTTGAGGAAGAGATGATAAGAGACGAAGTGGGATCGGCGAAGAAAGTAAAGAAAATAAATTTAAAAGGAAACAAATAATATCTAATTGTAATGGCATGATCGTAAATAATATGGGTTGGTGAGGGTGTGAAAGTCTGCCAAATAGTGTAGCACAGTGAAAGGTGAGGATTTTGATAATTGTGAATAGTGAACGTATCAGTTCTCCAATAAAGTTTGAAAAACGTACTAAAATGCCAAATATCTCTTATAAAAAACATTACGAAGAGGTGCCTAGCTCACATGAGAAATATTCAAGTTTTTTTTTTTTGGATCGAAGTTTATGTTTTTTAGATTCACCCGATCCCCACATACTCACCATGACTGAAAAGAAGTTTCCCTTTCACGATCATCCTTTATCATATGAGAAATTGGACAAGTTTAGTTGCATTTTGTGCAAAAAGAAAGGTGGTTTCGGCTATTTCTGCCACAAGTGCTACTTTTGGGGTCATAAGGAATGCATCAAGCGCTCACTTCTGCATCCATCTCCTTGCAAACATTCTCTCAAGATCTACACACGAGGCATTGGGCTATGGAGGTGACCATTGTCATTTTTGTAGAGATTATCTTCTTGATGATTTTTTTCATTGTTTGATATACAACATCAATATGGATCTAAAATGTCTTAAAGATCCACCACCATCAAGTATTTATTACCCAAAAAACCATATGCATATGCTTACTCTTTTGGCGAGAGTGGTCACATTTACTTGTAATGCATGTGGTATAGAAGGTAAGCGTAATCCTTACGTATGTCTTGAATGTAATTTAATGTTCCACAACGATTGTATAACCTACCACGAATTATAAGCATCAATCGCAATGATCATCGCATTTCTCGCACTTCTCGACTTCTCGTCTTGGTCCCGGAAATTGGAAATGTGGAATCTGCCGCCAAAAGATTAGTTGCTCCCATGGAGCTTTTACATGCCCACGTTGTCCAAGTATTGCCTTTCATTTAAAATGTGCGATGAAAGATGGCGTGTGGGATGGAAAAGAATTCGAAGCTGAACCCGAAAAAGAGCTTGAAGATGAAACCGAAGAAGAACTCGAAGATGATTCCGAAGAAGAAATCGAAGGTGATACCGAAGAAGAAATCGAAGAACAATAAAACTAATGTAAAATAAATATTGGCGTGTCATGAGAAATCCATTCTAAAGCTTGATGCGGATTCTGTTAGTGATAATGTGGTGCAACGATTGTGTATTTGTGTCCAACAATGATCCATTCTATACATAATGTTTGGCGATAGAATAAAGATTCATAATTTTTGTTATTTGCTAAAACTTTCATTTTAGATTATGACTCTTGGCAAAACGAACTCTGAAGTCTAAATCTTGTCTATGACTCGTCATTTGTTATTTGCTAAATTTGGTCTATGATCCCATTAGGCTAACACATGACAAAAGGGGCCAAACTCAATTTTTTAAAAGATTTTGAAATAAATTTATTATAGAATACAAAATAAAATTATTTTATTGAAAAAATAGTATATCAATGTCTTTCTGATTTCTACCATACCAAAAAATATATATGTCATTCCTGATTTGTATGTAGGAGTTTCAAGATTTTAAATATGGCATATCAAATGTAGCTCTAGTAATATGGACTTTAATCTCAAAATTGTTTTTTCATACCAATATTTAAAAAAAGTTTCATAAAAACTATATAAAATTTTATCTGTACCAAGTGTGGATCGCTGAAGCATGATGCCAAAGAATGCACTTTGTCATTTGAAGATGAAGACCCGATAGAAGACAGCGACGGGGATGACAACAATGATGATCACCATGGTGATGAAAGTGACAGAAACATGTCGGATACGGAGACTCTACAAACTGTTGATCCTGTTACTCTCATTCCTGGACTCCAAGCCTCTGTCCCTTCGGTTGGTTTTAACGAATCTGTAAGCAATGATGTTTCATCACTCCCTAGTGCTTTTGAAGACACGGAACTCACTGCTGAGAGACTTCGCTATCTTCATGCCAAATTTAGCCGAAGTGATGGGCTACACGCAGAGCAAAAGGATTTCCTGGAGGCTTCAAGTGACAATGCTCAACAACAGTTTGTGTTTATGAAGAGGAAACGGGTTCAGTTTGAGGCAAGGTACCAGCGTGACGAAGCTGCGGATGAAATGGCGGTCCTGAGTCATTTCTGTAAGAAGGAGAGAAGAACTGAATCTGCGGGTTCATGCTCACGACATGATGGAATAGACGGAGGCGCGGGGGGCCCGGTACCCCCAAGGGATCCAATATGAGGACAGCTTCATGGAATTGCCAAGGCATCGGCGCCACTATTACGCAGTCCCGTCTATTTCAGTTGTGTCGTTTGTTTAAGTTTGATATTTTATTCCTAGTTGAAACTCTGAACCCGTGTGATGTACTATATAAATTAGCGTGTGATTTAGGATATCCTAATGTAATAACTCAGCCCCCCTGTGGAAGGAGTGGTGGCTTAGCTTTGATGTGGAAAAACAGTGTTTCTTTATCCTTGATTTCTCGGGATGAAAGACTCATTGATGCTCATGTAACATATAATAATAAGAGCTTCCACTTGTCTTGTGTGTATGGCCATCCGGTTCAAAGCGAACGTTATATTCTTTGGGAAAAACTTGAAAGAATTTCAGAAAATCGAGATGAAGAATGGATGCTAATCGGGGATTTCAATGAGATTCTATCAAATTCTGAAAAACTTGGAGGCCCATTGAGAGATGAATGGACTTTTCGAGATTTCCGGAATATGGTTGCAAATTGTGATTTAGTGGATATGAGATCAAGAGGAGATAGATTCTCGTGGGTGGGAGAAAGGCATTCTCACACTGTGAAGTGTTGTTTGGACAGAGTCTTTATTAATTCGGCCATGGCTGCTAGCTTCCCAAATGCAGAAACAGAGTTCTTGGACTTTACAGGTTCTGATCATAAACCGATTGTTGTTCACATCAATGACTCGACAGCTTATCGTCATAGACCTTTTCGTTTTGATAAGAGGCTTGTGGACATTCCTGAGTTCAAACAAGTGGTAAAAGAAGGATGGAACATTAGGACTAATTTGCAAACGGTGGCTATTACGGAACGTATTCGGTCATGTCGCAAAGCAATGGCTAGCTTGAAACATAGATCAAATCTGAACGCCGAAGTGCGAATCCGTACTTTGCAAACTCGGCTAAACAGATCAATGGAGAGTACAGTGAGAGCAGAGAGACAACAAATTCCACAAATTCAAGAAGCTTTAGCTAGAGCGTATGATGATGAGGAGAAGTATTGGAAACAGAAAAGTAGAAATCAATGGATGAAGGAAGGAGATCGTAACACAAGCTATTTCCATGCTTGTGCAAAAAATAGATTCTCTCAAAACAGAATCATTTCGATCCTTGATGACAAAGGCAGAGTACACTATGGAAATAATGATGTTGGCGTTCACGCTCAAGCTTTCTTTAACGATATTTACACAACGAATGGCATCCAAGTCTCTCCAATAGATTTTGCGGATTTTCGACCAACTGTTACTCCGACTATTAACACAGATTTGACAAGAGAGTTCGGCGACAATGAAATTTATGACGCCATTTGCCAAATAGGTGACGATAAAGCTCCGGGGCCGGATGGCTTAACGGCGCGGTTCTACAAACAGTGTTGGCATATTGTTGGACAGGATGTCATAAAAGAGGTTAAAAACTTTTTTACAACATCTACTATGAAGCCGCACATTAATCATACAAACCTTTGTCTACTTCCGAAGATTGAAAATCCTTCAACTTTCTCGGATTATCGACCAATAGCGTTGTGTAATGTGTTATACAAAGTTATTTCTAAATGTATGGTTAGCCGATTAAAATCTCACCTAGATTCTATTGTCTCGGAGGCTCAGGCTGCATTCATCCCAGGACGAATTATTAATGATAACGTTATGATAGCCCATGAGATTATGCATTCCCTTAAAGTTAGAAAGAGGGTATCACAAACGTATATGGCTGTGAAAACTGATGTCAGCAAAGCTTATGATCGAGTCGAATGGGAGTTTTTAGAAACAACAATGCGACTTTTTGGTTTTTGTGATACATGGATAGGTTGGGTAATGGCTGCGGTTAAATCTGTCCGGTTTTCAGTGTTGATCAACGGTACACCCTTTGGACATATCAAACCCACCCGAGGCATTCGACAAGGTGACCCTTTGTCCCCATATCTCTTTATCTTATGCGGAGATATATTAAGTCATCTCATCAAATCAAAAGCTTCAGATGGTGAAATAAGAGGAGTTCGTGTGGGAAATGGAGCTCCTCCAATTACCCATTTACAGTTTGCGGACGATTGTTTATTTTTTGTCAAGCAAATGTCAAAAATTGTAAAGCTTTAAAAGAAGCTTTTGATGTTTACGAATACTATTCCGGTCAGAAAATCAATGCTCAAAAGTCAATGATAACATTTGGATCACGGGTGTTTGGTTCTACACAACATCGTCTTAAGACAGTGTTAGGTATCCCGAATCAAGGGGGAGGGGGAAAATATCTTGGACTCCCGGAACAATTTGGTCGCAAGAAGAAGGAAATGTTTAAATATATTATCGAACGTGTCAAAAAAAGAACATCCAATTGGAGTGCAAAATTTTTATCACCAGCTGGAAAGGAGATAATGATAAAATCTGTTGCTTTAGCTATGCCGGTATACGCAATGTCCTGCTTTAAATTACCCCAAGGAATTATTTCGGAGATTGAAACTCTCCTCATGAATTTCTGGTGGGAAAAATCTTCAAATAAACGTGGGATACCTTGGATAGCCTGGAAAAAATTACAATATTCCAAGAAAGAAGGAGGTCTTGGTTTTCGAGATTTATCGAAGTTTAACGATGCTTTGCTTGCAAAACAAGCTTGGAGAATCATTCAACACCCGCATTCGCTTTTTGCTCGACTGATGACGGCACGTTATTTTAAGGGGGAGTCGATTTTGAAAGCCAAAGCTAGAAGACAACAGTCTTACGGTTGGTCTTCGCTTCTAGTTGGCATTGCACTTTTGAAAAAAGGAACTCGGTATATACCAGGAGACGGTAAAACCATCCAAATTGGAGTAGATAATTTTGTTGATGCTCACCCACCAAGACCTCTAATCACAGAACCAGAAAATGTGGAGCTGACATTGGATAACCTAATTCATTGCAATGGAAATAGTCGAACTTGGAATGAAACAAAAATAATGGCATTGGTGAATCCTACCGACTACTCGCTCATTTATAACTCGTATCTCTCAAGAGTTAAGAAACCAGATACAATCATTTGGAACTATAATTCCTCTGGTGAGTACACCGTTCGCTCGGGATATTGGTTCCTAACTCATGATCCAAGTGAAGTTATTAATACGCAGCCTGGCCGGCCTCATGGGTCGATTGAGTTAAAAAACAGAGTATGGAACCTTCCAATAATGCCTAAGATAAAGCATTTTCTTTGGAGATTACTTTCTCGGGCTCTCGCTACAACAGAACGTTTAACGTCAAGAGGAATGAATATAGATCCTATCTGTTCACGGTGTTGGAGAAGCAATGAGTCTATAAATCATGCTCTTTTTACGTGCCCCTCCTCGATGGTGATGTGGAGATTATCGAATACAGAATTTTATAGGCTTCACGGGGTGTCTGAAGATGTGGAGGAAAACATCTCCAATATTCTAAATCTCATACAGAACAACTCCTTGACAGATGTTCAAAAACTTCTACCTTTCTGGCTACTTTGGCGAATATGGAAATCGAGGAACAATATAATTTTCAACAAGTTTCGAGAGAGTGTTTCAAAAACAGTTTTACAAGCGCAGGCGGAAACTAAAGAATGGGTTGAGGCTACTAGACAACAAAGATTTTTGTCAACAACACAACGGCAACCCAGTCATGATACGAAAAAGTGGACAGCACCTATCCAACACTATGTTAAATGCAATTTTGATGCAGGTTTCCATATTCATAATCTACAGGCAATAGGTGGATGGATCATCAGAGATTACCAAGGATTACCAAAAGTTTGGGGTTCTTTACTTCTGGATCATGCGGCCACTCCTTTGGAAGCGGAAACAAAGGCTCTTCTAGCTGCGTTACAACAAACATGGAGTCGGGGTTTTACAAACGTCGTTTTTGAAGGAGATTGTGAAATACTTATCAATATTATCAACAGAAATATCAAACACAGTTCTTTAAGCAATCTCCTAGATGATATACGTTATTGGGCTTCAAAATTCTCTTGTGTTCAATTTAAATATGTGGGGAGAGAGGGTAATCAAGCTGCTCATGTTCTGGCCAAATTTGGATGTATTTCTTCATCTTATTATGCTGATTCTGTTTTCCAGCCGATGTGGCTTTTAAATCAAACTTGTAATGACATTAATCAGTTAATATAATTTCTATTTTGACGAAAAAAAAAAAAAAAAAATTTTATCTATATATGTAATTTTTTTTTTAATTACTTATGTTAGAATCAGTATTTATATGAAAGAAATAATTTGATCAACCTCTATTTTTTTTTCTAGGATAATTCAATTTTGTTGCCTTAAATAAAAAATACACATATGCCACGTGTGTCTTATTTACATAAAATACCTTTTATAAAAAAAATTTATAAAGATGTTAGAAGCAAGTCTAGTCGTGATTCCTAACCAAAATTTCTTGAGCCCTTAACCCTAATTTCGATTTCGACTTCGACGATCCTCTCTGATGGCGAACGATAAGCAAATCGAATCTCATCACCGCAAGCATCACCGTTCATCTTCCTCGTCCGACGAGACCGAGAAATCATCGAAACGGCACAAGCACCGTCATCACAAGCATCATCATCACCACAGGCATCGCCATCACCGAGATAAGAAGCGCGACGATGAAATTCCATCCGCCGGCGATGAGACAGAGATGATTGATGTTACTCCGGCGGCTCCAATTGGTGTTAGTAACGGCTGTGAGGAGGATGTGGAGGAAGGGGAGATTTTAGAAGAAGATGCGATTGGCGATGTTTTGATGAAGACGGCAGATTCCGACGGCGAGTTTGGCGAAATCAAATCCGATAATAATCTGGTCTGTTCTAATCTTTCTCTTACATCGTTTCTTATAAATTCAGTTTGGATTGTGGGATCAGAGGGGTGGATTTGGGTTTGATTGATTTTTCATATCCAAAGAGCATGAATGCCTCTCTATGAAGCTGAATTAATGATAAAGCTTTGGTCTTTGAGAGTTTTCTTTAGATAACCTGATATGTAAGAAAGCACTTGCACTAGGCGTTCAATGGAGACTGATGGCTTTCCCTTGATTTGTAAGAACTGGTTTTGTGTAGATGTTCTTTTCCTTTTTTTCTTTTAATGTATATTATTGCGTTTTCAGTCTCATATATTTCTCTTCTGATAAGTGTTCTGAAGATCTTTTTGCGATGCTTGTAGCCTCCATTTGGGGAAAAAGGGCGTCAAGGAGAAGAGGAGAGTTCTAATGGTGTTCTAACTCGTGAATCTGAAAGGGAAGATAAGAGGTGGGATAAAGATGCTAGAGGTACTTCAGAGAGGGTTAGTAAGATAAGTTATGATAATGGCAAGAGTTCGTTTTCTTCGGAAAGCTCTGAAGAGAAGCGTAAGACTAGTAACCGGTCTCCGTCAAATAGCAGGCAGTCTAATGAAGTCCGTGCTCGGAGTAGATCTAAGTCACATGATCGGGAGAGAGAAATGTCAAGATCAAGGATTGTTGCGGAGGATGAGTATTCGGACAGAGGAAGACATCGTGATTCTAGTAGGGATCATCATCATGACAGAGTTGACTCAGGTAGGACTGAGGAAAGATATCATCGACGTGGGCGATATGAGGAAAATGACAGGCAATATAGCCGAGATGTCTTGGAAAGAGATAGAAGTAAGGAGAGAGATATGGACAGGGAGGGAAGCATAAGAGATAGGGATTCAGAAGGAAGTAAGCGGAGAGAGAGAGATAGTGATCGGAGGAGGGAAAGAGAACGAGAGAAGAGAAGGGAGATAGAGGTTGACCGTGAAAGACGAAAAGAGAAGGAACGAGGGCGCAGCACTGATAGGGATAGGAGAAAGGAGAGGGAAGGAGATTATTTACGCGATAGAGACAATGAAAGAGGTAGGAGTAGAGATAGAACCAGGTATAACAGCAGAGAGAGGAAGAGAGAAAAAGAAAGGGAGGGTGAAAAAGATTGGGAGCGAGGAAGAGAAACCCAGAATGATAGGGAGAAGTACAGAAGTAGTGATGTGGACTACGGTGAAATGAGGCACAAACAGTCTAGACACTCAAGATATGATGCGGTAGATGACGTAGAAATGAGTAAGCCAAATTCTTTGAAGGCCCATAATTCTAAGGGTGATAAGTCAGAAGAAAAGTGGGGCAATGATGAAAGGTAATCTTTCAGTAACCTCATCCTTGTGAATATTTTGCTGTTTATCAGAAATCTTTTGGGTATCTTGTTTGGCTCTTAACTATTTTGCTATCAGGTCCCGAAATGAGGATGGCCAAGATGATAATGACGAAGGACTTACATGGAAATCTCCTGAAGAAGAAGAAGAAGAAGTACTAAATAGAATCAAGGAGGAGAGCAGGAAGCGAATGGAAGCCATACTGGAGAAACATAAGAAGAAGCCCGAGCAGCAAAATGAACTTTTAACTCAGGAGAATGGGAAAGGTACTCGTTCAGTCTTTATTGCGATCACCATACTTCACGACTCTGATTTCTTCAAATATGAGGTTTTCACCTTTTTACTCGTGGTATATGTCAATGGCTTTTTAACAAAAAAGCTGCCACTTGTTTTCTTTTAATTTCACTGGTTTCTCACAGACAATGTCTTTCTCCATACAATACTTTCACTTGTCAAAACTTGTTTTGAGATTTTTAGCATCGAGGCATTCCCAGTGATTCTTCTGTTTTTTGTGGCAGATGTTGTTCAAGAAACTGGTGCTCCAGTGTCGACTTCTCCTGCAGTTGTCATAGCAGCTAATGTTGGTCAGGCCAAAACTAACTTGGACTTTGATACTGACGCTGCCAAGGCATCATTAATAGTCGGTGGGCCACCTACTATGCTTGGAATTTCAGACTCAGAGAAGAATCAAGCTCCAGCAGGGCTTGGTGAAGGTAGCCCGAAGGTGCGTTAGCAAAAGAAACCTTGATTGTTTCTTTGGTATTGGTGGTCATGTGTGGTTGTGAGTAATTCTTGGTTTTATGTTTATCCTATCGGTATATATATATATACGTGATGATAATCTTATATTCTTATATAATTTTATTTGTCCAGAGTGAAAGATCAGCTGACATGTTTCATGATGATATCTTTGGAGAGTCCCCAGCTGGTATTCGGAAAGTGGTATTTATTTAACTTAACTACTTCATATCGTCTGATTGTGTCGTATTTGTACTGTTTACTAACCTTCTGATGTACTATTTTGATCATCATGAAACCCTTTGTCATTAGTGTTTGAGGAAAATCTTTGTTTGCTGTGTGAGGATTTTTAATATTTTATTTTCTCATTGTATTAAACCTACTTCTTTTAGGGAGGGAAAGGTGATGGTGTTCCCATGGTGAGGAGCGGGCTTCATGATAATTGGGATGATGCAGAGGGTTATTACAGTAAGTGTGTTTCTCTCTACTTTTCAATCGTGAAAGGTGAAAGCATTTTTACGTTTTATTTTTTTGTGTTAAAGATAGAGTCTCTTCTCCTTTTTAGGCTATCAGTTTGGCGAGTTACTTGATGGTAGATATGAAGTCATTGCTACTCATGGAAAAGGTGTCTTCTCTACTGTGGTTCGTGCGAAAGACTTGAAAGCTGGACCAGCTGAACCTGAAGAGGTGGCAATAAAAATTATCCGTAACAATGAGACGATGTAGGTGGTGCATTCTCTAGGCCCCAACTAATTTTTCGAATTCTTATGCGATATCTAATTTATCATCTCTATGCCTTTGTGGCTGATTACTGTATCACATTTTGTTTAGGCATAAAGCTGGTAAGATTGAGGTTCAAATATTGAAGAAGCTGGCTGGTGCTGACCGAGAGGACAGGCGCCACTGTGTTCGTTTTCTTTCAAGCTTTAAGTACCGTAATCACCTTTGCTTGGTGTTTGAGTCACTCCATTTGAATCTTCGTGAGGTCTTGAAGAAGTTTGGTCGCAACATTGGTCTCCAACTCTCTGCTGTTAGGGCTTATTCAAAGCAGCTATTCATTGCCCTTAAACATCTGAAGAATTGTGGGGTTCTTCACTGCGATATAAAACCTGACAACATGCTGGTCAGTCATACTTTTCATTGGTTTTCTCCTACTTGATTCGCTAGCTTTCTAACAGCTGGTCTTTGACTGTCCAGGTCAATGAAGGGAAAAATGTGTTAAAGCTTTGTGACTTCGGTAATGCAATGTTTGCTGGCAAAAACGAAGTTACACCGTATCTTGTTAGTCGCTTTTACAGATCCCCTGAAATTAGTAAGTATCATATTTTGGATTGTGAAGAGGACTTTTCATTGGTGAAGAATATGTGACTGAAACTCTATTCTTTCCATTGCAGTTTTGGGTCTCACCTATGACCATCCGTTGGATATATGGTCTGTTGGCTGCTGTCTGTATGAGCTTTATAGTGGAAAAGTTCTTTTCCCTGGCGCCACAAACAATGATATGTTACGCCTTCATATGGAACTGAAAGGTCCCTTCCCTAAAAAGATGCTTCGCAAGGTAAGCATTAAAGTAGATTGGGTGTTGTGATACCTGGTTTTGATCAGTATCAAAATGTCTTTCCAAATGATAACTTTCGTTAGGGAAAAATAACAATCCATATGTATGGTGAAGATCTAGTTGTATGTTTAAGAGAAGCAGATTTTAAGGCACGTTCTAATGATTGTTTTATTTGGTTTAACAGGGAGCATTTATTGATCAGCACTTTGATCATGACTTGAACTTTTATGCTACAGAGGAAGACACCGTTAGTGGAAAGGTAAAAACCTAGTCCTTATATTTCTCGGGCACTTTGCAGTTTGAAAACCAATTGAGGGTGAGTAAGTTAGTTACTTTTCCTTTTCAGCTGATAAAAAGAATGATCGTAAACGTAAAGCCGAAAGATTTTGGTTCAATCATTAAAGGTTACCCTGGTGAGGATCCCAAGATGTTAGCTCATTTCAGGGATCTCTTGGACAAAATGTTCATTCTTGATCCTGAGAGGAGACTGACTGTGTCACAGGCATTAGCTCACCCATTCATCACTGGCAAGTGAAACCACATTGCCATTTTCTCTCTGTTATATCAGGAAATGCTGTTGTCCTAGATATCTGTACATTACACATCTTAATTACAATTTAAGGATCTAATCTTTGAATTTTCTCTACCTTCCTTCTGCTGCCTGAGAGAGCTTTGGTTAAAATGTCGACATGGGTGGAGTTCTCATTACCGACGATTCTCAGGGGACTTTACTGGTTCTCTATTGTAAGACAACTCGCTAATGGCGCTTTCTTTCTTTATACTGCTGTGTAATCATTTGCGACTTTACTCCTTGTAGAAGTCTATGTTTGGAAACTTTACATCTTAATAAGGAGATGGCCCTTCTGAATCATTTTTCAATTCTATGGAAGTTCTGTGAATATCATTTGTGGATATTAAGATGCTTTATTATCTCTTCTGGTCTCTCAAGGGCCTGATGTTGTTTTTCTCCAGGACATCTACCAATGCTTAGAGACACTCCTAACATCTTTCAATGCTTTAAAGGCACACAGGAGAAGGTACAATGGTTGTTTATTGGGAGTTATGTGAAAGCAAAACGAGAATTTTAGTGAACCTTTTGCATCTGTATTTGTCTATTGTTTTAAAAGCGGATGAAATTGTGATGCTTTAGTAGGTTTAGAGGTTTTCCTTGGTTCTTATTTGTGTTAGGGCATATGCAGTTTCTTTTGTGATGGTTACTTTTTTCTTAGTTAGTTATCCTTTTAGTCATTCATTCACATATTTTCTTCTATAATTTCCACTTCTTTTTCTAGTGTTTTTGTGTTTCTATAGTATCTGATAAATGGTATTACTGTGATTCCGGAGGTTTTGCTTGGAGGGGAGAGAGATGCACAAGAAAAAACATGCTAAGGTATTGAGATTAAATCACTTCTCCTTGTTAGGCCTCCTTTTTTTTTAATGTTTATCTATCCCCTTCCAATTTGTTTCACTGATTATGATTTTTATCTATTTTAGGGTCTTTCCTCTCTCCTCCTGCAAGTTTGGTAAGTACTTTAGCTTTATGGCCAATCTGTGTTGATGTGGATGTTCCTTTTTGTTTATAGCGCGGTAGAAGTCATTAGGTTTCCGTTAAGTTTTCTTTTGGGTGCCAAGGTTAGACTAAATAGTCCCTTAGATAACTTCCCTCAAAGGATTTGCGAGCATATTTTACTGCACATATATTCACTATTGACTTTTTCCCTTTAGGAACATAAAAGTTCTGTCAAACTAGACTTTGGAAGTATCTTTTGTAGGTTTAATGATTTTATATTGGAAGAAAACTAACTTTTGTGATGTAACTTGTGATATAAGTAGCTTCATATATCTTCTGATTAGTTTTGTTGTGTGTGGATTTAGTGTCTGTTGATAGGTATATCTCATTGTAGGGGAAAAAGTCGTTGCAGGATTTTTGTTTGTTTGTTGTTGTTATTGTTGCTATGTGCCGACTTGATTCAAAGCTTTGGTCACTGCCAGTAGTTGATTCATTGTATTGGCAGTAACACTTGCATGAGAATATTAAAATTAGGTCAACCTAGATGAATCCTTAAAATAGAAGTAAAAATTGTATAGATTTATATTGCAGTCTAAAGTTATAAGATGCAAGTCAATGGTTGCTTAAGTTTGGACATCGATAGTTGTTTTCTGAATGATCTTTTTTGGTTCGAACCAGTTTGGTAATCCAACATATCACAAAATATTATAAACTTGTGTTGTTACTATAAATGTGTATATCACAAAATATTATAGAGGTTGTGTTGTTACTATAAATGGCTTTGTTGGGACACCCTTGACCATCAACATGTTGATACATGCATTGCGACATGCGTGCCAGGTTCGTTGCAGCTTCCATAAAACCTCTAGAAAGCAACCAAGCATTGCATGCCGCATGTCGTCCCATGTGGCACTGATCATCTGCTGCACCTACTCACGTGCCTCTTCCTGGGATGCTCCGGTCTCATGCATGTAACATTGGACCGATTTGAGAACATCTCCTCTCGCCAATTCATCCTAATCAAAACACTCACAGAACTATATAACTTACATGATTGATTATTCAAATCGATTTTATAACTCACAACTAGAACTTAGAAGATTGATTATTTACCGTCGAAGTTCCAAGGTCTAGATGGAGGATGGTGGCAGAGCATCGGACAGGACTACTTGTTGCCGGTGTTGGGATAATGACCCCCAAGACTTGAATTGAGATTTCGTCAGAGAAAGCACAGTGAATGTGAATTAACATTGTCGGGGCAGAAATTGAAATCCAAGCATTTTGCATGTATTCTTCAAGTTTGGCTTGTATCCTCTTTTGTACCACCTTACTTCTACTAGATATGTTCTACATAAATCTTCCCACTAAGTTGAAAAATAACATAAAGAAAATGAAAACCATAATCTATCTACACATCGATAATAAATTGCACTTACTGATTTCTTGAGAAAAGGGATGACGTCAATATTTTTATATTTGAGGACATCACAACCAATGCCATTGGTTTCATTCTACAAAATAAGGAAACACAACCTCATGTACTCGAGAAGCTTATCAAGACGATTTACATCCCAACTGCAATACGATTTGTTGATTCGATATTTTTGTAATATACCATGTGGTAGAGTCCTTACATTTCAAGTTTTCAACCATGGCAGTGAAGAACTCAAGTTCTTCGAGAGTGCCATAAACATTGTAGATGTCATGATCCGTCGGACATATCCAAATTGTGGTTCATATATTATCCCAACATTCCAAAATTATTTTCGACTATTCTATCTCTTTCAAAGGAAAGTTGATTACCCAAACATGTTTCCTTCCACCAGCTTCATATCTTTAAAAGGGAGTGGGTTAGAAAGAGTGTAATATATGCAAAACCAGCTCTATAAATTGCTTACATGACTTTATATCACCTTGAAACATATTTGAGATCTTCTTAATGAGCAGTTTGTACGGTATTGATCTCAATTTTAGCGAGTTAGATTAAGACAAGATTCATGTCATGGTTCTTCTCATATGCATCTACGTACCATCTCGTCTCTAGCCTTCTCGTTCCCCAGTGGTACGGCATTTCTAATGTATGAACCATCGTATCTCTCCAGCAAATTTTCTGATTTGTTCTGTTGGAAAAGGTTTGATGACTTTATGCAATTTAGTATCCGATTTGTTGGAGAGATACGATGCTTCATACAAAGAAATGATACTTTTTATATCTTCACTCTTGAATGTATGACTTTCTATTTTGTTGATGATCACATCAAATATAGTATATAATCAATCTAATGGGATTGAATCAACGAGTAAGGATCGGACACGACCAACAGTCTTGGCTTTGTCGGGAAATCCATGACCATCGCCATATTGATACATGCATTGCGACATTCGTGCTAAGTTCATTGCAGCTTCCACAAAACCTCTAGAAAGCAACGAAGAATTGCATGCCGTTTTTGTTTCGAAGTTCATGTCGTCCCACGTGTCACTAATCATCTGCTGCACATGCTCACGTGCCTTTTCCTCTGAAGCTCCGGTCTCATGCATGTAACATTGGACCGATTTTACAACGTCTCCTCTCGCCAATTCATCCTACATTTAAAAAAAACATTCACTCAATTACTCATATATTTTGTCATGAATCAATATTTTTGTTTATAACATTGTTTTCGTTAATGAATTATCATGCATATCCTTTAATCTTCTAACTTATATCCACATGCGATTCAAAGCACATAACTAAAAGTTTGAAGAGAAGTTATTTACCGGCGAAGTTCCAAGGTCGTTAGCTAGACGAAGGACAGTGGCGGAGCATCGGACAATCTTTTGTCGGTGTTGGGACAAGGTATCCAAGCTTTGAATCGAGATTTGGTCAGAGAAAACGCAGTAAAAGTGGATCAATACTGTTGGAGCAGAAATTGAAATCCAAGCATTTTGCATGTATTCTTCCAAGCTTGGTTTGTATCCTCTTTTGTACCACTTTGCTTCCACTAGATATGTTCTACATAAATCTGCCCACTAGTTTGAAAAACAAAAAACAATATTTAAACAATAATATATTTAAAATAATTTCAAGAAAAAAGAAACTTACCGATTTCTTGAGGAAAGGGATGACGTCAATCTTTTTACATTTGAGGACATGACACCCAATGCCATTGATTTCATTGTATAAAATCAGAAAACACAACCTCATATACTCGGGAAGCTCACCCAGACGATTTACATCCCAACTGCAAATATATATACAAATTTTTTTAGATAATACTATTGTTAATACATTAAAACGAATCTTGAAAATATGTGATCAAAATTCTTATAATTTATTATCATCATGGGCTTTTACTTCATGTAATCCTAACTTTTTTTCATTTTTAGAAAATATTTATATTTTTAGCAAAAAAAATATAAGTGCTTCTATAATTTGTAATATAAGAAAAACTTAAGATATAATAGAAAGGTGGAATTCAAGAATATTTACATTAACAACCGCGACAATATGAAAAGCAAAATTTTATTTGATGATATGTTCAATTATTATTTTATAAATAATATACCAAGAAAATTAAGAAGTTTAAGTAGAGGAAAAAAGATATTCAGCTACACGAAGTATAACGGAATACATGGCTACCCATGCCAAGTTTAGAAATGTATAACCAACTACACGAACTAAATGTATTGCATGCCCACATATACCAACTATATGACGACATGTAGTCAACATCACGAACATCTTATTCCGGTACACCAATCGTCGAAATCCGGCGTTGACCATCGTTGATCGGCATTGACCAGCAAAAATATGCAAAAAATTATTTTTATTTACTTAATTTTAAAAAACAAAACTAATACATATTAAATTAAACATAAAGATATTTTGTATATATATTTAATATATTGATTATTATAATTAATTAGTTTTTCAATTTAAAAACTAAAATAAAAGTGAAATAAAAATAATTAAGCGAATTACTTATTTGTACATTGTCAATAAAAAACATTAACTTCTTATTTTACAAATGCTTTCGCTAAAATCAATATCGTTAGATTTTCTATTTTCTTTATATTAAAAAGAAATTTTGCGAATTTTTTTGTTGTTTACGCGTTATTACGAGAATTCGTTTTAATAATTTTAATTACAAAAATTTAAAAATATATTAAATTTAGACTAAAGAGTATATAAAATTTCTATATATCTTTTTTATGTATTATGATTTTGATTTTAGCAAAAAACTTTATATTTTTTTACCATGCAAAATTTAGACTAAAGAGTCATATACTCAATCAATTGTAATAGAATTTTATTTATTTCGCTTTTAGTTTAGTTTTGAAATTGAAAAAATTAACTAATTATAATTATCATACAAAATATATATATTTTAAAAATATAGAATGTGTTTTTTTTTAATTATTATACAACACCATAACCGATTCTATAGAATAATTCTATTTAAAAATATTTAAAATAAATAAAAATATATATTTTTGAATATTTTTGTTGGTCAATACCGGTCAACGATGGTCAATGTCGGATTTTGATGATTAGTGTACCGGAATAAAATGTTTGTGATGTTGACTACATGTCTTCATATAGTTGGTATATGTGGGCATGCAATACATTTAGTTCGTGTAGTTGGTTGTACATTTTTAAACTTGGCATGTGTAGCCATGTATTCTGTTATACTTCGTGTAGCTGACTATCTTTTTTCCTTAAGTAGAAGATATATGCGCCAATGGTCTACCACTAGACCATGGTAGTGCTGCAATATAACCAATTAATTGACCAAAAAAAAGTAGAAGATTTCTTACTTTTCAACCATGGAAGTGAAGAGTTCTAGTTCTTCAATAGTGCCATAGATATCGTAGATGTCGTCAATGGTTGTAACAAGTGCATTAACTATAGTCATGATCCGTCGGATATATCCAAATTGTGGTTCGTATATTAATCCAACGGTCCAAAAATAGTTCTCGACTATTCTATCTCTTACAAAGGGAAGTTGGTTAGCCAAACTTGTATCCTTCCACCAGCTTCATATATACCATTAACGAGAGAGGATTAGATGGAAAATATTTGCGATAAATAACAATGAAAAACCAGTATATATATTTCTTTTATCGTTATATAGTATTACCTTGAAACGTATTTGAGATCTTCTTGATGAGCAGCTTGTACGATATTGAAATCAATTTTGGCGAACTCGATCAAGACAAGATTCATGTCTTGTTTCTTCTTGTATGAATCTATGCACCATCTCATCTCTAGCCTTCTCATTCTCCAATGGTACGGCATTTCTAACGCATGAATCGCCTTTTCGCGTTCCTCAATGTTGTTAGTTTCATCATCAACAAATTTTCTTATTTGCTCTGTTGCAAAAGGTCTGATGACTTTGTGCAATTTAGTATCCGATTTCGTGGAGAGAAATGACGCTTCGTACAAAGAAATGATACCTTTTATACCGTTGCTCTTGAACGTATTACTTTCTATCTTGTCTATGATCACATCAAATATATCTGAAATAAACGGTCGTTTTAGTTAATATATGATATTGAATATACATCAAAATTTGATATAAAGAAACTGTAATTTCATTATATTTTACTAACTTTCTGAGACATCAAAACCATGTTGTCTAAGAAGTCGAAATTCGAGTGCGGTTGCATGTAAATCTTCTTCCTTGTCACATTTCCAGACATTTCTTCCATTTTTTAGATGAAAATCTGTCAAAGTATCATTTATTTGTAGCTCAAAATGATACGAAACCCCAAGTTTTTGCAAATCATCGATGAGCTCTAATTGCTCGAGACGGCTCTTCTTCTCAACATCAAGCATCATCCTCACTTTTTTTTTCAACACATCTCTAGTTATTACTTCTTTTTCACTCTGTACATTCATATGTTTAAACATGCATGTAGTAATAACTTGTTAATAAAAGAACTTATAAATAAAAGTGAAAATTAGGTGTAACAATAAAAAATGATGAAGATAGTACCGCATATTTATTCTCGATGGAGAGGAGATAACAATGGTCCCATGGTGAAGGTTGATAGTTGCCGGAGCGTCGACGGAGGTCAGCAGAAGTAGAATCCGGCGTCGTTTTGGTCATGGACTTGCATACGAAACGGTGAGGACGTCGAAGACGAATATGGTGGGTGATATTTTGGTAAATAAGAGCTGAACCTATACGAAAAGTAGCCATTGATTTAGTAGATGATTCTCTTCTTCGTGGCTGAATCTATGCACCGGATACGTTTATATAGACAAGAAGAGAAAAGTTTTCTTACCATATATTTGTATTAGATTTTTTTTCCTTTTATATCATTTATGAAAATAATCAATTGTCAAAAAGACAAAAAGTATTTTTTTCCTATATGACGGAAACTTTCCATTAAGAGAAACCACGATTAATTTAGCTGTTTTTGTAAACTGTATTTTCTTTTTGGTCAACAAACATGCAGTTTGTGGATTTGGATTAGAATTCAAAGTTATGTCACATCAAATAGAATTATTATAAACCAGTAGACTACAAATTATGATCTTTAGTTAAACCTAAACATTTAAAACTCAAAAACCATGACAAATTATTATAAAGCGTGGATTGTATACATAACAATGTATAAATTTAAATTATTTCTAAACATAAATTTAGATTTGAATCACAAAATAATAATATAAATGTTTTGGTTTTAGTATCAGTTAAAATGTTTTTAGTGATCATTATCAACATGATTAAGCGCAGTGATTAGAGTCACACAAATAATATATTTTGATACAACTCATACAAGACATAAGCCGTAGGCCTACCTAATTTTGAAAATATAAATGTTTTGGTTTAAGTAGTATAATTTAAGATATTTATAGTAACCAACATGGAATCGCCGTGATTGGAGTTTCAACATTATGCAATGTTATTGTTATTGTGTATATATCTCTTAAACTATTTTGTCAACAACATATAATATACAAGATTTGAATATGAATGGTGACACTAGCACACACGTCACACCGTAGTATACGAATCCTTATCATGATATTTTAAGTGTTTTTTTTTTTTTTACATCTTTGGATTGACAAAGCCCGATCCATAGCCAATCCCTACTACGCGGGGTAACGCGACTTACTGGAGTCGAACTCCGGTGGAGAAGGCGGAGTCAAGTAGACTTAACCACTTGATTAAAGGCATATCCCCGATATTCTAAGGGGGTGTTATTAGTTTGTTAATTTGTAAATCCATATAGAATTTGAAAATTTCTATTAATTATGAAATCAAGATATATGGATTTTGAAATAACATGTGTTTACCCATAGATTTGAATCCTTCTATTTTTCTCTTTCAATTCCATTCAATTCCATTTAAAACATAATTTGGATTCTCAAATCCAAAAACAAATGACTAAACGAATAACATAAAATTTTAACTAGTATTTATAAATCATAGAACCAATAACACATGAATTTAATTAGGATTTTAAAATCAATGATTGAATAACAAATGATTTTTGTTTAGATTTCTAATTCCATATAAATCTATGAACCAATAACCCCTCCTAAGTGTTTTAAGATTAAGATTTTCTATAAATTGTAAGTGCATATACGAAAAAAAAAAAAAAAAAACAATCAAATAAATTGTAAGCGTCTGCGTCTTTTATTCAATAGTACAATCAATATTCTACAAACAAACAAAAAAAAGTACAATCATTATATTGTTTGTTTTCAATTGATGTAAACTGTCTAATAATAATATACAATCGTAGAAATTTGGAGAAATAAGATGAATCCTAGATGAATGACAAAAGAAAACTATATCTTCTTATGATTTTTTTCCAGCAAAATAAAATGAATACATTTTTAAAATTTTCTCTTTAGATATCGTGTCAATTATTGTGTCATGTTGGGTCTCATGTTACTACGTTAGCGAACAAAACGTGGCCCCTTTAGGTAAGAGTCACTCGGTCGCATTAAAAAGATGTTGATAAACCCAAAAAGACCTATCGCTATTCATTGATTCATTCATTGCACATATATTTTGACTTATGTCAAATAACTCTTGGAAAAACTTATTTTCCAATTAATAGGTGGAAATTATTTGATCACCTCCTATTACACACACTTATTTTTATCCAAAGCCAAAATGATTTGTGCACCTCGTGATTCTCATGTTACATTTGGTGACGTTATTATGTTAGCCAACAAAACAATTAATGGCCCCTTCAGGTAGAATAGTCATTCACATAAAAAGTGAAATCTAAACAAAATCTATCTTCTCCAAATTCTAAATGTTTTGTGTATCTCGTGATCCTCGTTGTTATGTTGGCAAACAAACATGGCCCTTTTAGGTAGAGTTAGTCGTATCAAAATAAATGTTAATTATTCGAAGCTTGGAGAAGTATTATATTCAGTTTTTTTTTTATTAAAAACTTTCACTTGGTGATGTATTCTTCGATATATGGATATTTTGACACATAAAAAATGTAACAATATGAAACAAATGGTTCGAGACAAATAACATGCAAAATTTTATAGTAAAAAAATTATTTTATATTGCAAGATTTTTGCATGTTTCGAACCATATTTCTTCATTGATTGGTGCCAGACTGCCAATGATCATTCAAAAATTGTTTATGAAACAAAAATGAGTGAAAAATAGTGTTATATTGCCATGTTTTTTTAAATCACAATATAGCCATGTTTCTCTATTAAAATCCTTAGGGTTTAAATCATGGGTTTTGTGCAAAAAAACCCTCGAAGTCTCCAATTTTTGCAAGTTTACCCTCCACCTCTAAAAAATGCAGAATAATCCTATGAAGTCCAAAATAATAGACAATCTAACCCTTTTTCGTTATTTTCAAGTTTTTAAAATTGTGATTAATAATATATCAAATCGAAGCCCTCAAGACGACGAGTGCAATTCTATCTTTATAATTTTAAAAATCAAGTGTATATGATCGTGAAAACGTTTCAAATATATACATAAGGGCTATATTGCCTATTATTTTAGACTTCATAGAATTGTTCTGCATTTTTCGGAGATAGAGGGTTAAGTTGCAAAAAATGGTAACTTTGAGGATTTTTTTTTGCACAAAACCCATTATAATACTATCAAACAGTGGCCATAGCCATAGTCTCATAGAGCTATATTTTGTTGAATCTTTTCTAGTCACTATAGTAAGGGACTTTGGGATCATGTTGAATCACATTGATAAATTTTAAAAGAAATTTGGAGGATCTTGAAATATTATATGTTGTAAAACCTGGCCTTTTGTATAAAATAATAATTTGGTGTTGAGTGACAACAAGTTTTACTTTACCACCCGGCTTCGAGTCCCGGCCACTGTGTAATTTACCTGCGGGGCGCAGCGTCCCAGACCACTAGTTCCAGGGGTTCTTAAGTAGAGGCTTAAAAATCTCATGCACGCGAGCTTAGGCCCAGTGGGCTAGTCGGATCACAGTGTGGTCTGGACACTAGGTTATCAAAAAAAGTTTTACTTTTTTAGTTTTTGTCCTTATTTTTTAAAATCTAAAATCAGGATCGTGGGCCAAAGGCCTGTTAAAAAGCCCACTATAAAAATTTAATTTCTGTCGGTTAAACGACGTCGTTGCTATAAGTTCTTAGAAAACCTCATACGCTGCCGTTTTGGCGAGTCTCTTATATATAAAAAAATCAAATTTCTCCGATTTAACTGTGTGGATAATGTCAGCGAAGGGACGACGATGATTCTGATAACCTCACCGACGGTGACATATCTCCACAACCGTCTTCTCAATTTCCAAACCAAATCGCCGCAAATTCGCCGCCATTTTCGTCGGAGTAGAGAAATCTCGACCGTCGATCGCTGCTGCAATCCATGGCAGACAACAATGGCTCGTTTCAAATTACGAACACGAGACAGTTCCTTCTTATGCTGTGCTCGCCGGAAACTGGAGACGGCGACGGTTGAGGTTGATGATGATTCTGTACGGAGAATCGTTCGGTATCTTCTATGGAGTAGTGAAGCTGTGTATATACTATGGCTCTTTCTTCTCCCTTACGCTCCTGTGAGTGATTGATTACCTTCAGATTCATAGTTCCTGAAATTTAGCCATAGTTGTATGTGTAAATTTTGCTAAGGTTTATGTAGAATCATCACATTGATGATGAATCTTGAAAGTGATTTGGATAATTTTAGGAATTGAGAGCCATTTCAATTTCTCTGCTTGAATGTTTTGAGAATCGAATAAGTTTGCTGTTATATCTAGCTTATAGTCTGAAATCATAGTCATAGTGTAACACCCCGGTTTCAGGAAATATGGTGGTGCATGCGGAGATCTATGTGGTTACTAATTTATCTTGAGCTACTTGCCAACGGATTATGTGAATGTTTTTGGAAGGTTTATGTAGAATTCAAATTGGTGAATCTTGAAAGTAATTTGGATGTTGGATGATTTTAGGAATGATAACTTTTTCAGTTTCTCTCCTTGAATGTTTCGAGAATCGAATGAGTTTGTTGTTATCTTCAAGCATTATCTTAGATTATACATTTTGTATGGTTTATTAATTAGAAAATAGTCTCTTTGATCAACAGGGAGATCCAGTTTGGGCAATTAGTTCAGAGACAGTGAATTCTCTTTTGGGACTTTCTTTGAATTTCTTCTTTGTCTTGCCTCTTACAAACGCCGGTATGTTCAGCTTTAAGATATATCGATTTCGTTTACCTGTATGATCTTTGATGAAAGTTTCTTGCTCATGGACTTTGTGACAGAACAGCTGGTATTCAGTTCTTACAAGCTCCTGTTCTTCACCCGGTATGTACCATTAAGATTGATATGGTTTTTGTTCATTAGTGAAATTATTTGTCAAATCCTGCTGACAAATGTTTTCAAATTTGCAAACAGATGGCTGAAGGATTATTCAACTTTGTGATAGCTTGGACACTCATGTTTGCTCCGTTGCTATACACAGACCGGAAGAGAGACCGATACAAAAGTTCTCTTGACGTCTTATGGGGTCTCATGATGTTCCTCACAAACAGTATATACAACTTAATTTTTATTTAGTAAGCTCAGTTTCTCTAAAAAGCAACCCTCTAAACTAGATTATTGGTTCTGTTTATCTCATGTTGCAAACAGCGTTTCTAATCCCATACATGGCTTTACGGCTCAATGATGCTGACCCAGATGATAAACCGAGCAAAAGGTCTCAACTTGGCGAATCGATGACCAAAGGTGCCCCAATAGTTGGTCTGACCGGAGCTACGGTGTGTCTGATATCAATATTGTGGTCTCTCTACGGTCGACCTGATGGAGATTTTGGTGGAATCATGGACAGATGGCAGTATCTCGTTGGTTATTTGGGATCGGAGAGACTGGCTTACGCGTTTATATGGGATATATGTCTGTACACAATCTTTCAGCCATGGTTGATTGGAGAGAACCTGCAAAATGTGAAGAAGACCAAGATTGAATTGGTGAGGTATCTTAGGTTTGTTCCTGTTTTTGGTTTACTTGCATATCTTTTGTTTATCAATCTCGAAAATGAATCAATTTAATTAGTTAATTGGTATACACACATATTGTCGTTGTACTCTTATCAAATGTAATTATATTATGGAAATTTTAATTGTCATTTTTAGAAAATTCTATAATTTGTATTAATAATGTTTTTCCCACGGTTGAATTTATATTTCACGAATGGATAATGAGAAAACTCTATAAAATTTGTTGTCAACTATATATATTCGCGTTAGTTTGGTAAATGGCAAGAAATGAATATAGCAAAAACAATCACCATGGTTTTCCAAAGCTTGTTGTTCTAAGATATTTCCCTGATAGATGGAACACAACACGTGCAAGACGATCCAAGTCACCTTCAAAAGTTTGTAAGAGTGTTCCATCACTTTTCCACAATTTTGCAGTTCCATCATCAGAAGCAGACTGCTAGACAGTCATCATCCACATGAGAAAACACTACATCAGTTGCACGTTCTTTGTGATCCTTCAAGACATCAACAATCGTGTTTGTAACTTAACTTGAGGCATCTACAGAGAGCCGCCAGTAAGAGGACAATCATCCCATATAATTACTGCAATCAGTGACCATTTCTTTAGCACGCTTTAAAGCCGTCTCTTCATCTGGAACATCTCTCGGCCGCTTTGCACGCTAAATCCTTATAGCAGCTCTCTTGATAAAATTTGGAAATGCCTATTATAGCTTCTCTAAGTTCTATGAATTCACGAAATTTTCAAATCTCGTTACTCTCTTCGAGACTTTCCAACATGAAATAGACTTGTCGCTCAAGCTCCGTATTTCTTTTCCAGATCTGGTAGTCAAGTTTTTTGCTTTAGGTTTGTATTTATATTTTAAAACCCTTGATAAATAAACCATACAAGATACTTTGACCGAACAGGCGTATAGTTAATGTTGTGGGCTAAAACTCATTAGAAGCCCGCTATAATCTATATATACATTTTTGGATGACTTTTAGCAAATAAATCCTGGAGTTGGAATGTATTTACAAACAATGCCATTGGAGTTAATTCTTAAGATTTGAAAAAATTAATTAAAGATATTATTCTAAAGATCGTTCCTCAAATCTCCTCCAACTAATTACTTTAAAAATCTCGATAATAACTATTCCGTGATTTACTGTAATCTTCAAATATATTTGGTATGATTTCTCATAATTAAAGATCCATCATTAATTGCAATAATAAATAAAAACAATAATTTCCTTTTATTTTAAAAACTTTCTAACGACAAATGTATTGCAAAATAAATAATTTCCTAAAACAATTACAGAACCTAATAACTGTTGTAGACTTTTTAGGAAAATAATTACGTAAATATATAACTTAAAGATAACAATTACTCATCAAATCTTTTTTGTTTTGTTAATATTGTATCATAACAAGACCTAAATCAATGGACTACTTATTCTCTATATATAAGTGAGGTTATTTAGTCATCAAATCAATGTGCATGGTTCCACTCTCGCCGTCCCTCAGCTCTGCAAATCATTTGCTTCATTTTCTACATGTCTTGGACTAAGGTTCTTCCTATTCTTCTTTGATTTGAATCACTTACATCTCTTTTTTTTTTTTGATAAATCACTCACTTTCATTTTTCTATGGCTTTATGTTTGATAGCCTCACGTTGAATTGAGGAGCTTCCCAGTGTATTCGGAAACTGGTCCTTCTACGTTACCTTAATCTACATGTTTTTGTGTTTGGACAAATGAGGAAATGATTCTGATTTTTATTGTTTTGGTATATTGGTTCATGTTTGAGTGTGAAAATATTTGCAGGGTTAACCATAATCCATTATAGCTTCTTAATATTGATTTGGAGATGCTCTTAGTATTGATTTGAAAATTTTCTTTGGTTTGTTTACTAAAAAATATTTAGTGGTTTACCATCAAATGAAAAAATCATGTGATAAAATAACCTTTATAGATTAATCTATATTTATCAATTTTTTGAGTAAATCATTTTCTAAATATATTTATTTTAATGTAGATTAGTTAAATTATGGTTACTATTCGTTATTTGACAAACTCATTTGGCTATATTACTTATTTTAAACCAAACTCATTTTGGCAATAAATAATGTTTATTTATAAATTAGATTAACCCCCAAAAAATTATTACCAAATATATAAAGATTATTTATGTCTAAAGAATAATATATTGCTTTAGATTATTATTATTTATAAGGTTTCAAATATTATAAATATTTTAACCTTATAAGAAGTATAAATTAATAATATTTAAAGTATCTATAATATTTAATTCCATAAAAAGTTTATAATATTAATAATATTTGAACACTATAAAAATTATAAATATTTATACTATGGAACCACTTAAAAGCAAACTTTTAAATTGACTCGAATTATATGTTTTCTAAACAAATGTGTTATTAAAAAAAATGATGTTTAATTTCACGGGACAGGGTTATATGGTGAGACGGGTTTAGATCGATAATAATACCGGAAGATATACCACGGGTTAAAATCCTAGAAATAATAATCAAAATTCAATATATAATCTTAAACACTAAACAAAACAAATAATATTAACAAAATAATTACAACTTAAAATTTAAAACTTTTTAGTTAAAAAGTCGACCCGCGGTGTACCGCGGGTTAAAATCTAGTTTGTAAATATAAATGATACTATAACCCGCGGTACACCGCGGGGCTATACTTTAAACAAAAGTTTGAAAATTATCTATAGATATAACCTATTGTTTTGTTTGGTTAAATATACTTACATATGTATATATTATATATATTACCCCGCGATACTTCGGGTCGATTTTTTATAACAATAATTTTTAAATTTTAAGTTGTATTTTTTTGTTAATATTATTTATTTTATTTAGTGTTTAAGATTATATAACTGTATTTGATTGTTAATCCTAGGATTTCACCCGTAGTATACCGTCCCGTATTAATATCGACCCAAACCCGTCCCTCCATATAACCCGTCCCATGAAATTAAACATCATTTTGTTATATTTCTTTTTAATAATATTTTTATTTAAAAACATATACAATTCGAGTCAATTTATAAGTTTGCTTTAAAAAACATATAGTTGTAATGTTTTTATTATAATAAAGTAATAATATATAGATGTTGCTTACTATAGTTATAATCAAAACCAACTAAAAATCTAAGTTTAGTGTTGATTATGAATCATAGTTACGACCAAAAAAAAAATTAATCAAATACAATTAGTGTAAATTAACTAATTAAGAAAACAAACAGAAATATAACAAAACTTGCTTTAAAATCGTTAACAAAAAAAGGAAACATCATATTTAAGCAAGATCTTTGGAGCCAAAATCTTTTTTTCATATCTTTTATTTAATTTTCCAAATCTTAAGAATTAAATCCAGTGGCATTCCATTGTAAATAGTAGTGAAAGCCAGGATTTATTTCATAATTGTATTCAAAAATGTATATATAGATAATTCATTGGTTTAATAGAATGTAACCATGTTCAATGTTACATGCATGATTAAGTTTATAAAATTAATTGTTAACATTACAAAAGTCTTAATTTTGAAAATCGATACTTTTATTTCAAATCAGTTTCGTAATCCAACATCCCACACAATATAATACAACAACTTGTTTTGTTACTATTAAAAATTATTATAGTGTAATTTTAATCTAATGGCCTAATGGGATTGGATCAACGAGCAAGGTTTGGACACGATCAACGATCTTGGCTTTGTCAGGACAGCCATGACCATCGCCATGTTGATACATGCATTGCGACATGCGTGCCAAGTTCATTGCAGTTTCCACAAAACGTCGAGAAAGTAAGGAAGAACTGCGTGCCGCCGTTCGTGCTTCATAGTTCATCTCGTCCCAAGTGAGACTTATCATCTGCTGCACATGTGCGCGTGCCTCTTCCTCCGAAACTCCGGTCTCATGCATGTAACACTGGACCGATTTGAGAGCGTCTCCTCTCGCCAATTCATCCTACATTGTCAAGTCATATATGAATTGCTTCACGTTTGTTTCATTTGTGAGTTAAGATTACCATTCTTATAAATACTCATACGCGATTTAAAACACATAAATAGGAGTTAAAATAAAGAACATTTACCGGCGAAGTTGCAAGGTCATTAGCTAGACGGAGCACAGTGGCAGAGCATCGGACGACGTCTTGTCGTTTTTGGACCAAAGACTCCAAAATTTGAACTGAGATTTGGTCAGATAAAGCACAGTAACAGTGGATTAACATTGTTGGAGCAGAAATTGAAATCCAAGCATTTTTATTAGGGATAATATTATCCCACATTGGAAAGGACAAGGGATAATATTAACTTTGTTGGAGCAGAAATTGAAATCCAAGCATTTTGTACAACGAGCAAAAGCTGTACAGAAAAATATACCGAATGTTAAAACTTCAACGAGCAAAAGTTGTAAGTTTCATACTATTCTGATACTATCCCTAGTTTTAGCATTCAGTATATTTTTCTGTCAAAGAATCCCTGAAGAAATTGGTTGCTGCACATTTTGTTGAGCGCTCTCCTTCTCTTGACCCTAGTTTTGGCAGAGATCTTCCAAGGAGAAGAGGCGCTACATATCCATTGGTAATTGATAAGGCCTTTCTGTTTTACCGTATATCTATCAGTAAACTAACAGCTCTATTCATTATCGGATATATCAGATTATTGGTTATCAACTTCGCATACCTTCCAATTGCATCGACATGACTCTCAGTTTGATTGCTTATTCTTTTCAGTATTAATAAACAGTCTCTTGGAATTGTGTAGTTTTTTGATAATCTGATAGTGTTAAAGAAGAAAGTTCTTCAGACAGCTCCAGCTGAAGATATAAGGTTTCCACTTACAGCTTTTGCAAATACTGATAGCAACATCGCTAAGAGGAAGGTATCAGTATTCTCATACATTCCCCATCAATGATGTAGCACTGAATATCTTTTTTCTTTTCTTTGATGATCCTCTTTGAATTGAAATTTGTTTCAGCGTAAACCTGATGTGGATGCCTCTGATCCGAGCAAATTAATAACTTGGCGTCCTAATTTCGAGGAGTTCATCAGCCGCCTTAGACATAAGGTTAGTTACTCACAATTCTCTTTGAGATTGTTTTCCAGATTTATTTACTGACTCAACTATTACGAAAATTTTCTAATTACATGTTTCTCCTTTTAAGGCATGTCTGGACATTGTGAAAAAGAACAAGGGTGAAGAATGTGTCGCTGTCTTGAGGGCAATGTTAAATGTAAAATCTGCGGAGGAGAAGGTGGAGAAAGGCCAGTCAGGTGATAACCAATTTCCTAACTCATTTCTGTACAGTATCTTAATATCAACAAAATTATTTGAAGTTTTCATTGTTTCTGGTGTGCTTGATTGATCATAGTGTTTTAATATTTGAAACAATGTATTCTTGTCAGGCCGAATGTCAGTTGGTTCCTTTTCTAAAGAGGTAAAGACAGAAGATGGTCACCCTCTTCTACAAGAGATAGTTGTAGAATGCCTTGGCAAATTGAGTTCCAGTTCTTCTTCTTCTTCTTCATCTCTACCAGCATTTGTTATCGAAATGGACGGTTCATACAGAGTTGGTACGTTTGCATTGATATTAAATCTCATTCATCTCTACCAGCATTTCTTGGATTGAAACTTCCTTTATAATTTATCTCGTTATTACGTTTGCAGATTTCGAATCCATTATCAGCGTACCACGTTACCATGAGGTCTGTTTCATATTTTTTTCATTTCCTGAAATTTCTCTGAAACTGAAAATGAGATTTTTTTAGTTGGTTTTAGATGAAAGCAGCGGTTAAGAGAACATATGGTGAAGAATTTTCCCAAATGTTCAACTACTTACTAGAAAAGGAAGATTGTTTGTTTGAGACTAGTGAGGTTAATATAGAAACTTGTTTCTTTTTTAAGTTATATTAATGGTTTCTTAACCAAACACTAACTTTTGTTATTATCTTCTTTAAAGATTGTGGGTGCCGTGGAGATTGAAGAGGAAGCCGCACTACGAGGACTCTTCGATATGCGGAAAGGTGGCTACGTGCGTATGGAGGTATGAATTATAAAGAATTATAAAGAACTCTCTTCTTTTTTTTATTATTATTATATTGAATCAAAGCACAAAATTATAAGAACAAGATTATGAATTATAAAGAACTCTCTTCTTTATTGCTTGAGGAAACTAACTCAAAACCTTAAGCATTCACAATCTAAATCTCTCAACTCATAAGGGTATACCACAAACTTTGGTACCTCTTATATAAGAAATCTCTAAGACCTAATCCCACTTGGATTAGCATTGTATTCTAGATAACTCCTAAAACACATAAGACTTTATCTCTTTTGTAAACCATACTAAACCGAATATTAATCGTACTCAAACTTAAACCAACATTCACCCCCTTAAGTTTGAGATCACACTTTGACACATCTTGAATCCCAACAAGTTCTCTCATCTCCATGAACGTGATCCTTCCTAGTGCCTTGGTTAGAATATCGGCCTTTTGTTCTTCTCCCGGGACATGCTCTACATCCACTAGCTCATTCTCAACGCACTCCCGAATAAAATGATATCTCTTATGTATGTGTTTGCTACGTCCATGGAACACCGGGTTCTTGGCAATTGGGCAATTGCAGATTTGTTATTGATCCGAAGCATCACTCGTTCTATTGGATCCCCGATAACTTCTCCCAGAAGATCTTGAAGCCAAATAGCCTGTTTAGCAGCCTCAGTCGTAGCCATAAACTCTGCCTCACAAGAGGACAGAGCTACCGTGTCTTGCTTCTTAGTGCACCAAGTAATAGGACAATCTCCAAGGTAAAAAATGTGACCAGTGGTGCTTTTACCATCGTCTTTGTCCACGTTGTGGCTACTGTCACTGTATCCTATCAATACTTTCTTAGCACCCCGAGTAAATGATAGACCATAAGAAGGAGTACCACGCAAGTATCTCAGAATTTGTTTTAACGCTGCTCCGTGAGACTCCTTTGGATCTTGCAAGTACCTACTCAATACACCAACTCTAAAAGAGAGGTCTGGTCGCGTGTGGAGCAAATATCTGAGACATCCAATGTTCCTCCTAAACTCCTTCTCATCGATACTCTTATCGTTCTCTGCTTTTGAAAGTTTTAACCCAGAATCCATTGGTATGTGAACCGCATTACAGTCTCTCATCTTGGCTTCTTCAAGTATTTTTCCTGCATATCTTCCCTGTTTCATGATGATTCCCTTATCATGTTGAAACACTTCAATGCCAAGATAGTAGGTTAACAGACCAAGATCACTCATTTCAAATTTTGAGGCCATTCCTTTCTTGAACTCAACAATTTGATCTAAGCTAGAACCTGTGACAAGTAAATCGTCAACATAAACAGCCACAACAAGAGTATGCTCGTTCTCTTGTTTTTGGTACAAGGAAGGTTCCTTTGAGCATTTTACAAAGCTTAACTCCTTAAGTATTTTGTTTAGCTTAGTGTTCCATGCCCGTGGTGCTTGTCTAAGCCCGTAAAGTGCCTTATTCAGCTTGTACACTTTATCCTTATTCTATAAATACTATTAACCTAGTCTTAGAAAATCTCATGCTTGTTTTGAATTTCTCTTTTCTCCTTTGAGATTTTGTATGAATCTTAAATATTTTTATGCAATCTAGTCTTGTTTATTTTGAGATTTCTTCTTAATTTACTTTTGTCATTAAGATCATGCAAAGAAACAACATGGATCTTTGTGTTTTCACAAGGATTAGTGAGTAGTCTCTTTTGAGATTTTGGGTTTAGTAGATTAGGGTGGTTGTTGATTGATTCAAGATGTTTAGGACTTAATCTTTATTGATCCTTACTCTCTAGGTGTTCTTAGTGGTAGATTAGTTTTGATTAAGCTAGTCTAGATTATAGGAAGTTTCATGCCCGCGATGAAATTCCCAAAAGAACTTAGTGAGTGCTTAGCATTCCTAGCCAATGGAAATTGATGCTTAGGGTGCTAGGTGGTTAGTTAGACTTGAAATTAATGCATATTAGTCTTGTGATTGCCAATGAAAATTGAAGTTAATTGCTTGATTAGTGTAGAGTTGGTACCATGGAAGTGGACTAGTTTACATTAGTGTTCTAAGACTAAAGGATTAGCATTGTTAGATTGATAGAGCATCTTGAATTGATAATTAATCACCCGAATCAATAATCTAAACCCGAAGACTCACTTTCTATTTATAAACTTGAACCGCTTTGCCTATTTCTCGCTTGTTTGATTTTTGAATTTTATTAGTCTTTTGCATATTGATTTATTTTGTCTTGTTTTGCATTGTTTAGTTTAAATTGCATTGTTAGTCAAATTTAGAAAAACCAAAACCATATTTATTAGCTTAGATTAAGTGAATGTGTGTATTCCTAGTGTGTTGATTCATTGCTCCTTGAGGTTCGATATTTAATTGGATAAAAACACTACATCAATTTGGCGTAGTTGCCGGGGAGCAATAGCTATTAGCCATTAAGATTTCATTTTTGCTTGAGACTAAGCCATTTAATTTCCGCGCATATGATTATATTCACACATCTAGTTGAGATGATAAATTTTCTTTTGTTTATTGTTACTAATTTGACTTCCTTGATTCTCTTATGCTTTCAAAGGTACTCAAATCAAAAAAAGAAAAATGGGAAGACAAGATCATATAAGGTGATGGATGTGGACAATTATACAAACATTATTCAAGCTCCACAACCTCAAGAATTGATATCAAATACGACTCATGCTCGAGAGAACACACCCACAATAGGAAGCTTTGATGCTCTTCATTATGAATCAAGATATGGAATCCGCCCACCTCTAATAGAAGTCAATGCTTATGAAATCTTGGCAAGTTTGATTAGATTGATTCAAAATTCTAAGTTCTTGGGGCTAGCTATGGAGAATCCTTATGATCATTTGGACTGGTTTGAGAGGTTGTTTAGCACGTTTAGGATTAGAAGCGTGTCCGAAGATAGTATCAAGCTCATTTTGTTTCCATTTTCTCTTGGAAAAAAAGCAAGCCAATGGGAGAGAGCATTACCATCTCATTTGGTCAATACTTGGGATGATTGTAAAAAGATTTTCCTTCTCAAGTTCTACTCTAAGCAAAAAAGGGTCCAAATGAGAAATGACATAATGGGGTTTAAGGAAGGAGTCTATGAAAGTTTTCATGAAGCATGGGGAAGAATTAAGGGATATACTCGAGATTTCCCTCATCATGGATTCAACAAAGAAACTATC